GTGGAGTTTTTGAAAAAAAAATCCACATTTTGGTTTGATAGTCCTGCTTAACATCCCCCAGGGCTTGATAAATGCAGGAAACTGCCAGATATTCTCCTGTGGCGGGAAAATGTACAGGGAAAGGAAGCTGCCTGCTGCAGGGTGAGCTCTGGATCAGCTACTGCTTGTGTCCCCACCCCATATGGGTTGTGCTGCCCAAACCCCTGGTTGTTCTTTAAAGGGCAAAGGGAAATTAATCTAGTGCTTCCAGAAGCAATTGAGAAGTCTTCCGAGTAAGCAAGTGGTATATCTGGTTTCTCCATATCCCTTGCAAGTCTTGCCTTAGTCTGCACAAGAGTGGTCTTAAGACATCAGGAATCAAACTGGCAAATGTTATGAAACATCCCTCCCAAAAAAGTCAGAAGATGTTTAAATAAACCATCTAAGTCTATTTCTTGCCAGTATTTCACGGTTCTCATGGTGTGAGGTAATTTTCAGGCCAAAAAGGCAGCTCTTAATACCCACAGATATGCACATCTCTTGAATGCTCACTTGGAAACTGCCTTTGCTCATTCCCTTTTTGCCAGTGGAATCCCATGTTACCTTCTGACCCCAAGGAGTAGCCTAAACAGAGGGATGAATATCCCAGGTAAACAAAGCATTACAGCTACATCAGGAATTTGTTTGCAATTGTCAGCAGCCTGCATTGGCTTGGCAAATTTTGGGTGTAAAAACACTTTTGTAATACCATGCAGCTTTCTAATCTCTGGGAAAGCCTGAATCATGCAGCATTTTCTGTGATCCTTGCAAGAAAAGCCGTGCTCGGAGTTCTCACACATGAAAAGAAAATCATCTCACATTCACAGGTAGCTGTAAAACATTTTTGCTCTTTATTCCAATCAGCTGCAGAAACATCGGCTAGTACTTAAAATTTATGAACTACCTCAACAATTGAGTTTATTGCCATAATTGTGCCTAATTACTTTTTCTCCAATTTCCCTGTGACCACAGGCACCTAAGCAGGGGTTCCAGGTAGGAGTCCTGGGTGAGGCTGGTTGGGGCAGTTAAAGCCTGTGGATGCCCTTGAACTCTGACAGAAGCCCCCACTCCTGGCATGCCCCACACTCTCCCCAGAGCAGAGTTTCAAGGGATACTTTCTACAAAAAGCTTGAATCTGGGCTGGGACAAAAATGCCTTGTCTGGTTCCTGGGCATGCTCCTCAGAGTTGCAGCCCTGCTGGTTGGCAGAGGGGGAGCTTCCCCCAGCTAGACTCCAAAATTTGCTTTGCCAGAGTCCAAACTTTGCTGGCGCCCTGGCTGCTGTGCCCCATGGCTGCTTGTTGGTAGTGGTGGAAGGGTCCTGAGTGGTGAGACTTGAGGGTGGGGACAGGGGAAGCTGAGTGAGCCTGCAGGGTTAGGAGCAGGATTGGGACAGGGCTGAGGCTGGGGAAGCACGTCACCAGCTGCAGGGATGCACGTGGCACCCAGTATGCCTGGGTGGCTTTGGGGCCAAGTGGGTGGCACCCACCTATAGGGCAACCTTGGGATTTTTTTTGTCTCTCAGTGTCCTCCTCTCCTTTCACCTCCCATTGCACCTCTACCTCCCACCTCCCAGATCCACCTCCTGATCCCACAGTGATCTTCCTACTGAGGAGTTTCTGCTTAGCCTCACCATGTGTCATACTTTAGTGTCACACTAAACCTCCAAGCATCCTCCAGCTTACTTGCAGGCAAAACTCAGTCACGTCAAAACTAGGTGGTGGCAGGTGACTTCTAGACTCGCCAAAATAAACTCTCAGGCCTGAAAGGAGAAAATTCATGAACTGAGAAACGTAGTCAGTTTAAGACAACCTCTGTCATGAAGTTTTCAAGTTTACTAAGGATTTAAAGTGTAAGTTGTATAACTCCTTTCTGAAAGCAACTGTGTTGAGTTGCAGTGTTACAGAGGTCTGACACAACAGCTGGCTGGCAGATCTGATGTGTGTCCTTCTAGAGAAATCCTACAAAAAATCCCCAACATCTTTCAATGAACTCAAACTGAAGTTTACAGTTACTAAACTAATGATATGTGACTGTATGGCTTATAGCAAAAATCAACATTTCTGGTTCCGTTTTGTTTATATTGGATGTGCAGCAACAGTAGTTGCCATATCAATCTCTTCCTTTTCATCTTTTCCCTTATTTTAAAAGTTAGAAAATAGTTTAAAAAAGAGCATCTTGATAGTTTACCCAGATTTAGTGCAGAAAAATCCTCCAGTGATTAACGCTCTAGGTAACCCAGGTGTGAATTTACAGATTGAGAGTTACTTTTGAGGTTCTGTATACCATGCACTACAAATGACATCAACACAATTTTCATTTCACTCTTACTGCAGCTGTACTCTCTTAGAGGGAAGCTTTTTATAGGTTTAATTTATATTTTTAATCCAGTATGTTACTTTGATACAGGGTACAGGTTAAATCGTTCCATTTAGAGTGCTCTATACCTGTGGTGAATAATAAAATCTCTAATGAATAAAATCTTTCTAATGAATGGTGTTCAGTGAGATCAGACATACAGTGAGGAAAGGCCATTCTCCACTCCTCCCCTCTTCCTTTCATTCAAAGAAGAGGAAAAACAAATGTGTTTGAAAAGACAGCAATGCCTTTCAGGCCAGCACATTTTAAAAGAACCAGAAATTAAGGTTTGAAAAGCAAAAGAAGTACTTTAAAGGTTAAAGCAAAGTTTAGGCCCCTATCTAATTAGTACAGCCCTTTATTGAGGCAAAAAATGGTGCAGTGAGTACTGGCAGTGATGTGTGAGCTGCTCAGACTCTTTGAACTAAAGATGTCCCAAAATGAAGTACCTCTTCTTTGGGATAGCAGGTGCTGGGTCTAACCTATGGGTCTGAGCCCCTGACCTCACCACTGAGAGCCCAGCTGTGCTGGAGGCTGCTACAGAGTGAGCAGTGCTTTCCCCACCTGCAGATAAAACACACAGGTGTCAGCCCAGAGGAACTTCAGGGGTGGTGGGGGAGGCTGAGGAGGCAGAGAAAGGTGCCAAATCTTTCTCCTGCCCTGCCCAGCCCACCCTGGGCTGGGATCAGAGATGCTCAGCTCCCAAGAAGGCTGATTTGGCACCACTAACACGTGCTCAGCCCCAGAGAGGTTTAGAGCTTAATTCAGCATTTTGTATGTGGAGATGGGGGGGGTCACCACCACCCTGGTGCCTGGGGTACCCGTGCTGAGAGCTGCCTACTGGGTCTGCCGCCACTTGCTCCTCCTCATGGCCTCTGCTGCTCTGACCTGAGGGGTTGGCTGGATGCCCAGTGAGCCAAAATCCCCCACAGCAGCTCTGGGCATGGCATCTTTGCTTTTCTTCTTGGTCGGAGACAAGTGACATGCTGAAGCCCTTCCCCATACAGCAGGAATCCCAAATGGGAACCCTTTAGGTTTCATTCCTAAACGCATTCCTCATGCCCCGTTTGGCTGCCCCACAACTGGCAGGTGCTGCTTCCCTGAGCTCAGCACAGCCACCTGGGCACACTCTCCTGCCAGGCTTCCATCCACAGATGCCAACACTGGAAATACCTGCGAGGACACATCCAGAAATGGTCTTGCTTGGGCAACCAGTATCACAGTTCTTTTTACTTGTACTTGTCCAGTCCTTCCCTAGAAATTAGCTAAGCGGAGTTTTATCCAGGGAAAACTTAAAGCTCACCTGTCCCCCTCTGCAGCCCTTACAGTGGGAGAGATCACTCTGAAAGAGGATCACTCTGAAAGAGGAGGGACAGTCAGGGGGCACAGGACCCTCTTCAGCATTCCTGTTTAAATCACAGTCTGCTTCATGCTATCCTATTTTTTTTTCCTTCTCCTTTGTGGCTATATAGGTCACCTCTCCTCATGCAGTTCAAATAGTCTTACAGCAGCTCCAGGATCTGGGCATGTGGAAAAGTTTCTCTTCCTAAAAAAATGAAAATAAAATTAATGCTTTCAGTGGAATTTAGCCTCCAGAAATAGGGGAGGGCTCATGCTACGTGACTAGACAGCATTACGTGAACCAGCTGCAAGTACTCCATGGCCCACAAGCCGCAGTTTAAAACTTCTTATGCAGAGCTGACCATAGGAAATACTTATGAAAAAGAAAAATATACCAGAGCCTCCATGTTCTGTTTGTAACCAGATGTCTCCAGTGTAGTGTGGCATTTAAAGTTTTAGGTCAGCAACAGTAATAACAGAAAGTACAGACTGGCAATCCTTCTAAAGTTATTCCTGATTGTTGCCCATGCAAAGATTTAGTGTGCCTTTGGGCCATGATTCACAACAACTTAGTTTATAATAACTTAAAGAAAAATTACCATTTAATGTTAGAACAATCATTTTAAGTAAGAAATTACTTGTTCAACTATCCTAAAAGTTGGGATGATGACCAGAATTACTAGGTTTTATTAATGGCACTTTTTTTAAAGGACTGTATAATCCTGACCAACCAATAACCTTACCCTTCAGTGCACTTTATGTACTCAATAATATGTATCTTCTTGTGGGTGCATAATTTTCCTATTAAATATTGATAATTACTTGATGTTTGTAAATTGTAACGAGTCAACTAGATTGAAATACAAAATACAATTTATTAGTTAAGAATTACCCATCAGATGTATATACAATTAATTTTTCCTTCAGTCAGGTATTGTCTTGGTTTCCCTTTGTGGAGGAAAAACCCTCTCTAAGGGTGAAAGAAACAAATAGTGAATATTTGTGTTCTCTTTTTTGCTAGTACAACTTCAACAGCAAGACATAGTCAGCTGCTCTGCAGTTGGGTCTCTGACTCTTGTTCTGCAAAGCTATGAAGCTGGGAAGACTGGCTGGCTGGGTGTTTTGAACAGTCAGGAAAGATAAGTACACACATTTATTTTTAAATAAAGTGTGAGTACTTAATTCAGTGACACTTTTTTGATCTATGCAAGGAGGTACTTTAAAATTATAACCCACAGAATCCTCCCGCTACTCCCATGATTGGTGTTCATTTGTTTCTCCTTCAGGTGTTGCCTAGCAGAAAACCATGGGCAATTTCAAAGGGCATGCCCTCCCTGGAAGCTTTTTTCTTCTTTTTGGCTTATGGTGGTCAGTGAAGTACCCACTGAAGTACGCCTGTCGAAAAAACAAGAACGCTTGCTACTTCGGTTCCAGGGCAGGATTTCAGCGCCTGGAGTTTGTTGAGGGGATCATCAAAGCCGCCTTTGCCCTCATTGGTAAGTAAGGAGGACTTAGGGCAGATAACAAAAAAGTTGTTCTTTTTAAGACTTCTTTTTTAAAAATTTTGTTCTCTGATAAAACAGATCTCGTTGGGTTTTGGTGTTTTGTCCACACAATTATGTCTGTAACATAGTTTCCATCCCTAGTGCTCTCATGGAGCTTCTTTGAGGCCTCCTGGCTGCTTCACAGGTGGTCCATCTCAGTGTTCATGTGCTGTTCACTACCTCAGGGAGGGAGATAAGGTATTTAGGCAAGGGGTTCTCATATGCAGACTGGGAGCACCAGACTGTGGGGGCATGGCTTTTCTATTTTGAATCCAGTCATCTTGGGTGGTGACAGTGCCCAATAAGTTATTGATAAAATATGTAAATTATGCAGATGATTTTCCATTAGTGTCATTCAGAAGTGAAAACATTCAGAAAGAAAGACTGAGCTCCAGATTTTATCGCCACAGGACTGTGGCTATGAGGTGTGGGGTGGGTGTAAGGGAGCTGTTTCTCCTTCTGCTTTGTCCAGGTCTCGGTACAAACCCACAGAAGCATTCTTAGATAGACTTTTATGTTCTATTTATCTACTCTTCTTTAGATGCTTAGTATTGCCTGATTTCTAATCAAGGTGCAGGCTGTGACAAAATCTTGTTCTTGTTTTTCCTTTCACTCTGGGAGTTGAATCAGTTAAGATACATCAGCACTGAAGGGGTGTTGTGCCTACAGTATAAATTTTGATCTGTCTTAAAAAATGATAAAAATCTAAATACTAGCATTCATTTTGAAGTAGGAGCATGGACATCTTTTCCACAAATCTCCCAGTCTGTGTCTAGAGGTAGCTGGGCAGTTAAAACATTCATCTAGTGTTTTTATTTTCACTCTGAGACAAAAAGCTATTATTTTAACATATGATAATTTCAATTCTAATAAAAAACATGGACAAGAACACTTGGCAAAGACAAACAATAAAGGCAGCAGAAGGAGTAAAACCTGCTGTTTCCATGTCAGGAAAACTTGAAATAAAGGTGGAAAAACAATGTATTTACTCTGCAGCATATCTACCGATACAGCAAGATACTGGCCCATGCTTTATAAACAACATAATTAGCTTTAATGTTTTAAAAAACATAACAGATTTTAAACCCTTTGTAAACTTCACTGATCATATAAAGGATCTAAAAGCAGCTTTCCACTTGCTGGAGTACTGCAGCTAGTTAGCAAGACACTGAGGGGCCGAGGTAAGGGAGAGAGAGGGTGGAGCAGTGATTCAAACACTAACTCAGTGTACATTATCATGGGACCTTTACTAACCCTGCACCGTGGAGGGGTTTCCTTTTATGGCTATAGAGGAAAAATCCCCTTTGAATTAAGGGTCTGAACTCTGTCATCCTGCATGTGGCAGGGCACTGAAACGGTAAATTTTTCTTTTGGAGACTTTAGCATGTGTTACACTCATATTTGAACCACTGGGAAAGGCAGCTGAAAAATTCAGTCAGGGGACTACTACAATAGCAATTGTTTAAAAGGAGAAAAAGCAGCACAGAATAGTTGTTCTCATTTTCACTACTGGAAACTGCAAGATGCAAATAATTCCACCAGGACCGGAGCCGAAGTCTGTCTTCCTCTGACTTTCTCCCCTCCAGATTATGTGATGCTTAATATATTGCTTAATAAATCACTCTGTGGTTTTTCCCTTAGCAAAGCAGCTTATTTCATCTCTCCTCCACCCACTGCCTATTTTCTTGAGAATTTAAATAAAATTAGTATCTTTGAGGCCTCTGTGCATCTTCACTTGAATTTGGACAACGTGTTAAAAATTTTATTGGGAATGGCTGTACTGGGCAGAAGGGACCAAAACATAGCAATCACCCAGAACAACCAGACTAACCCTCAAATTTAGTGGCTTTATACTGGGTGGGAATATATGGTTTGTATAAAGACTTATCATCAGTCTATATCTTAAGCACCGGAACAAATGGTTCTATTTCTTGTTTCATGCACAGGAATGGTGGCTGAGCAGTTTGTTCCTGATGGACCTCATCTGAAGTTGTATAACTATGAGAAAAAGCACTGGGATCACCTGATGAACTGGCAACACGCCACCATGTACCTCTTCTATGGCATTTCTGGGTTGGTTGACATTGTGGCACATGGGACCAATGCATTGCCAGCAGCCACAGACAGGATGATGCTTTCCTTGGCAGTCTTTATTGAAGGTCAGTTTACCTCTCCCTGCAGAGGTGGGCAAGAATCTGCTGGAAGGGTATTGGTCTTTGGTCTGGGAACCTTAAACCCGCCTTAGAGAATTAGCCTACAGGAGCTGGGGTATATAAGCCCCTGAAATACTTAGAAGAGATCAAGAAAAGATCAATCTTGGCCCTCCTTAAGCTGCTGAGGGTTTGTCTGCACTGCAGCCCAGATCATGATCACATACTGGAAAGGTCTATCTGTGCTTTCCTAACTGGCTCAGACAGCAACAGAAATGTTATGGAAATAGCAGTACAAGTGTCTTTCAGGTAAGTGCTCAATAGCTCTGGCAGGTGCTTCAGTGTGTGTACTGGCATGGTGCACAACTAGTTAGCTAAAGCAATGTGAGTGAAGGTGATACTGGCATAAAAGACATGCCAAAGTTTCGCTGTTTTCTAAAAGCAAACGCAGGGAGATTACAAGGGAAGAAAAGATCTTAAACTGATCACAATTTATTCCAGGTTTTCTCTTCTGCTACCATCTCCATGGGAGAGCTATGCTGGATGTTCATGTTCATCAGTTACTGCTATTTGCTATCTTTGGAGCTGCTGCCTGCATATTTTTGGAAGTTTTCTTCCGTGGCAGTATTGTGCTAGAAATGCTCCGTACAAGCCTCTGCATATTACAAGGCAGCTGGTTCTGGCAGGTAGGTCACTTTTCTGCCTTAGGAATTTCTTCCTCACCAAAATTAGTCATTTAACCCTTTGCAGATATTTCACAGGTGATCCATTTGCCTTTTAAACACAGACATCAAAAGACTTATAACACAATGCAGTCTTAATGTTCCTTTAAAGAGATAAAAGTATCTCTCATATCCATTTTACAGAAGAAGAAGAAGAAGCCCTTTTACTTCTAGTGCCCATTAGTTGAATCAATAAAAAAGCTAAGGTGATTTTCTTGAGCACTCCCTTACTACAGTCATTGACCATTCTCTCTGATCCCTTTAACATCCTGTTCCAAATTGGCCAGCTGAATGGCAGTGATTTTAGAGCACGGAAATACATGCAGTCTTTTACAAAGAGAGTCTCCACTGTCAGCTGCTGGAGCAGTGAGTAGATGCCCAGTGGAGTACTGAACAGGTGAGGCAAAGGCCTCTCTGATGTTTCCTGGCTCAAAAGGTACTTAAGCTACCAACCCATGTTAAGAGATTGGGTGATATAAAGCCTCCTGTTTTTCTGGTGCTCTGGGAACTGAGCAGAAAAAACAACAGCCAAAACTTTGATGTTTCAGGGATGTGGCTCCTGAAAGGACTCTTCAAAATGTAGTTTCCATGCCCTCACTTCCTTGTGATTCTATTCAACTAACAGATATTAGATAGCAACACTTTCTTTGCTATCAGAACAAGAGAGACATTCAATGAATTGCTGAGACAATTTTTTCTTGTAACAATGTTCTTGTAACAAAGGAATAGGAGCACTAGTGCTGGTGTGTGTTTCATCTTATAGTGGAGAACTGAGGTCACTCCAACAGTTTTTCTTTCCAGCATGTCTAGACTGGCTTCCCTTTTTCATATGCTGGCCAGACACGATGAATAAAAACGTTTGCTGTTCCTGAGGAGAACTGGACATTCAGCACCAAATCAAATATTTAAATGCTTGCTCTGGCAAGAAGACAGACCTTTGAGTAGGTTGTATTTTTCTATAAGTGAACTCAAGAATGTGGTGCTGCAGCACTTGCTGTTTTATTTTCTTGTTTGTAAACTTTTCTTTGTTGATTTAAGAAGCTTTGCAAAAGAGGAATAGATGCAACCATTTATTCTTTGTTGTCTACCTAGTCTAATTTTAGAACAGACTATTTCTTTAGCTCTGGAGACAATGAGGGTTTTGTTTCAAAGTAAAAAACTGAAGAACTAAAAATATAAGAGATTTAAGTGTGGCTTTTTTCACACCCGCATCAGACTTCAACCATCTGTGTGACTGAAAACCACACACTGGCTGCAGCATGGGAAATTTGTAAAAGGTAAAGGGACTTTCTTTCTGCATCATCAACACCCTCATTCATTGAATTCTCTTCATGGAAATGCAAAATCCACTCCCCTCCTCCTTCCTCTCCTCTTCCCAGCTTCTAAATTCTCAACTAAACTGCTGAGTTATGACTTTGAAGAATATTAGGCAGTACAGAGGGGCTGATACTTGTCATGCAGACCCCTGTGTAGCCACAGGATTAATAGTTTCCCCATCTTATTCATGAATAGGTATTTGATCTTTCCCAGCTCTGAATAAAAAAATCAGCTGTGTATTTCACAAGAACTTATAGTTTTACATAAGGAAGCTCCACTTTTATGTAATTTCAAACCTGACTTTTTCCCTGGATGGCCCAGAAGGAATAGACTTGTGGCTCACCTTTATTTATTCATTCATTATTCCTCTTCTCAACCACGTAACACATTCCCAGATACTGTTGGGAAGAATTGAGTCAGTGTAAGTGGCTGGGCAGGTTTTCTGTTTGGTGAGGCGCTTGCAGTTCAGAGTACACACAGCTGAGCACATCTGAGCACCCCTCTCCTTACACCACATAATTGTGATTTTTGCAGGGCTGTGTTGTTGGGCAGGGTCCTTCATTTTCTGGGCAAGAGCAGTGGGTCTCTGGGACTGGCTCTGCATCTTCAAAGACATTTCTGCACAGAACTGTGTAAGGTGATCCATTGCATCTGAGAGTGAATGCAAAACTGTTATTAATAATAAACACAGAAATAAGCAGCACTGTAAGAAAATTTGCCTTGATGGGTAGCATAAAGCATGATATGGCATAGGATACACATCAAATGACATGTGCTAAATATCTTTTATTTTATTACAGATTGGCTTTGTACTTTACCCTCCAAATGGGAGCCCAGAGTGGAATCAAACAGATCATACTAATATGATGTTCCTGACCATGTGCTATTGCTGGCATTATGCCTTTGCTTTTCTTATACTTGCAGTGAATTACACAATTGTCAGCTGGTAAGTTACTTGAAACACTAAAACATTGGTGACCTATCTATTTAGCCTAGCAGGAGCTTTATTTTAGGGAAGTTTCACTGATACATCCAAATAAATTCATTAACAGAAATTAATTGTCAGGCAAGGTAAAATAAAAATAGATATTACTAATCAGTGAAAAACACATGAATCATTGTTTCAGAAGAAAGGAGGAAAACATTCATAAATACATCTCTGACAGCATAAAATGAGCTCTAGAAGTCTTTCTAAGTGCTTATAAAGTTAGAAGAAGGAGAGACTTCTTTTACCTGCAGCATCTTTTCTCTCATCTCCACTAATTTCAAATGGCTTAGTCAGCAGGCTTCATGACTTAACTTTGAAGATTATTACTTAGGATTCCTTGCTAGAAATTTCCTGTGACCAGACCTGATTTCTTTTTACTAACCAGTTTCAACCCCTAATGTCTAAAGTTAGCTGTTTTCCTCGCCACACAACTACAGTGTTAATTTTGCTGTAAAAATGAGCCTGATTCTGCCACCAGGTCATCAGAAAAAGTGATCACCTGCCCACAGGACCTTATCAAGCCTTTGCCTGCACTGTCCGAAACATGCTTCTCACCCCTTAATTTTACCCCTACTATCCTAATAACCCTATTTAGTCATGCTTTGGCCATATGTAGCTCTTGCAGAGTTGCTTTGCTCTGAGGTGCCAGTTCTTTCTGGATTTCAGTCCGAAAGGCACTGACAGTCAAGGCTGGGTAACTGGTTTGCTGTGTAAAGAATGGCAGCTGTTGAGAAGGTGGCAGCAGTCCTACATCCCTTCTGATGCTGGGAACAGTGGCTGCTGCAGCACCAGACGAGGCCTCAGATGAGGTTGATCGCACTGAGCAGAGTTGCCTTCCAAGGGTCGGTTGGCACGGCACTGAACTTTCCAGACGGTACACTGAGGTTTGCTTAAGGTGGTTTTAGGTGCATAAGAACAAGCTCTTACCAGCAGTACAGTCAGGTGGTATCACTAAAGGCAACACTTACTAATCACAGAACGAGTTGGAAGGGACCTTAAAGATCATCAAGTTCAAACTCCCCTGCCATGGGCAGGAACTCCTTGCACTAGACCAGGTTGCTCAAAGCCCAGTCCAACCTGGTTTTGAATGCCATGTACGTGCTTGCATTGTATAGTAGTCACTCATGCCAGCATAAAGACATCCACAGCCAAGGCCTGTGGTTAGATTCTGCCCAGATTCTGCTTGAAGTCACTATTTCCTCTTTAGGGTGTCTTCCACTGTGAAACACTACAAGCCTTTATAAATCAATTATCCTAACTCGCTGATGGGATGCAAGAGTTAAACAGGTTTTTGCCATGTAAAAATGGTCAGATGAGCCTTTGAGTTGTTATTGACAACTTTTTCCTTTGTTGTTTTTCCAGGGCAGTTCGTTCAAAGGTTAAACGGTCCCAATCCATGGAAATGGGTTTACTGAAAACATGTGAACGAGATCATGAGTCAGAAGATGAAATTTAGTATGAATATGGCTTACCTGCTCAACTATTAGGCTAATTGATACCTCATTTCTACCTTTTTTTGCCATCTTATTCATTCATTACTACAACTTGCTATGCAATTATCATTCCCCTATGATGTCTACATCTACACTGTTACATCTTTATTTTTGGAGGGTAAGCTTGGTATCAGTTTGCAGTGGTTGCACTAGTACTCCAAAGAAAATTCAACTAATATTAGACTGACTTGGAGCGTATGAGGTGGCACAATGAAGTCTGCACGTTGCTTTACTAAAAGCTAAGCAAAATGTTTTTCAGCTGCCACTGAACATACTTTTAAGTTTCCATAATTAGGGTGTCCAAATATGCATGTTTACTGCCCTGCAAGTAACTGTGCATAAATAACTGTGCAGACCTGGAAGACATTAGAACAAGATAAAACCCCCAGAATCTTCCATTTGCCTTGTGTCTCTGCTTGGGGCTTTATGCTAAACAGAAAGAACTTCTCGCTGCAAACCCATTCATGGTTCCTTGAAGAGTGTGTAGTGTGTTCACTCCTACAGAGACACTACCAGGATTGGTAGGAAGACCAAAGAGGTCTATGAAGATCAAAAGCCACTGCAGTTATTCATTCTTATGCCTAGACAGTCCTGTCTTTCTGCTATCATTTGATTCTGTAAGGCAGTGGAAGTGACTCTGCCTTCCCTTGGCTCCTGGAGCAACTTCTTTTCCAGAAAGGCTGAGAGATGTCCAGTCAGGCAGCAGCTGAAGGAAACTTTCTTTCCCAAAGATATTTCCTTCCTTTGGTGAAATTAAGTGGTTTTTCTGCAGGATTCAGAGCAGACACGTGACCCAGAACTTGGGTCAGGAGTGGACAATGCTGATCTGTGGGCAGGATAAGATGGTTTTGAATCCTTTTCCCTGTGTCACCCCTGCAGTCACCAGGCAGCCTGCTCAGTGCTGCACAGTGAGCTGAGGGGGAAGGGGAGGCAGATGTTGCTTGCACAGAAGCTTCATGCCCAACTATCCACAGCAGCAAGTGAATTAAAAAATAATATTAGTTTTAATTGCATTTGTTTTCTCCATTAAAACTGAAGTCTTGATCTAGTGAAAAGCAGAGTGTTCTTCCCAGTGTTCCATGTCACTTGGGATGTGTTCCAGCTTCAAGAAAAGAGAAATAACTGGCTTGTGGTAAAAGACATCAGAAAATGATGTTGTACAAAAGCACACTGCCCCTAAGACTTTCAAAGCATCACTCTGGCTCTAAATACATGTTTTGAATGACTGGCATGGGCAAGTTGTGGCACAGCTCTGTTTTCCAGAGGACTGATGTGGGATGCATGCTGCTGGCCATTTTACATATTCATCAGCAGTAAGGTGGCCATGGTCAGGTGGTCTTGCCAGAAAACAGCCTCTCCCCTCTACAGCTCCTTCTAAAAAAATGTATTTTGTAATTTTTTTTGGACACATGCTAGTGCAGGACAACAAATTCTGTTCAAATAGTGCCAGTTTGTCAGGTTTGGTCCTGCAAAAGGGTGTTTCTTCTGTTACTCAAATATTACCAGATGCTCTTCAGGGAATGCAGAGCTGGACTGTGGTAGATGAATGACAGTTGTAGGATCTGGTGCCTCCACTTTGTTGAGTTTTTCTCTTCTCTTTGCATTAGAGAAGGTGGCATCACATTATTAAACTTGAAGAAATGCAAGGGAAAACAGATATTGAAGTCTCAAAGAAACAGTAGGCTCTTGAATTTAATTTTTAATACTTAGAGTACACACAAAGTGAGTGTCATAGTGGGGTTTTGTGCCTGATGTATTTATGGTGCCACAAAAGAAAAGAAACACCCTGTTTCAGGGCGGGTTTTTTTTATGGGGCGGGGTTTATTTACGTAGGACACCTGACCCATTCCTTTCAATCCATGTTTAAAAGAGATTCCCAGGAACAGTATTGGAACTATTACAGTGAAAAAGGTACAGCCTCCATCATTTCATTAGCAACAGATATTGTTTGAGTTGAATGAGGAGAGGGAAGTTTAACAAGTTTACAAACACCACTCAGAAAAAGGTAGCTGCTCTCAAGAAAATTTAAATTATTTTTAAATAATGGAGCCTTTGAAAAACTATATGGTAGTTTTTAGTAGACAAGATGCACCTGTAATTTTATTTAAATAAAATTGATTTATTCATGTAAGATGTCTGTCATGTTTTCAGGGAAAAAAATATAACCATTTATGGGACAGGATGGGGTGGGATATACAGGTTACTGCCATAACCCACACAGACATTTGAACAATTGAATTCAAGAAAGGTCAGTACTACCTTGTCATTAGAAACTGTGATATTTGTTCTCTATTCTGTAAATAAATACTTTTTTTCCTTGTAACTAAAAACAGATTGAACTAAAAGCAAATAAGACAGCAAGGAATTTAAATCCTACAGGTTCACTTCCCTTAAAACTGAGGCACTGGAAAACTTTAGTGTATCTGGTCCCTTAATGCCCTCCTGCTACATGTTTCAGTTCCTCTGAACTACAGCAGTTGGGGTGGGAGTTTCTGGTACAAAAATTGGTGGAAGAAAAGAGAGGAGTTTTTTTCCAAAAAGCCCTTTAGCATGTGCAGTAGTTGAAGCAAGCCTGACTCCCAACGACTGTGCAACAATAGCACATCTGTTAAAAGGGAGAAAGACAACTGGAAACCTGCTGGAAAATGTGTCCTTGTAATCTATTCTAGGTACAATATGTGCCTGCTCAAAATATGTGGGAGTAAAAAGCCTAATATTTGTCAAGCAAGTCATAACTTGTCCTCAGATGACTTTTTGGAACAGTAATTTCTGTCTCTTTGCTAGGTATTTGTTGTAGTTCATGGATTTCTACATTTGATACACTTCTTAAAAGGAAAATAAGTTTAAAAAGTAGTTGAAAAACATAATAATAAATATTACTGCATTACTACTTTGCAATTTGGTTTGGAAAGAAAGCTCTCACATATAGACCACTGCCATTTACTGACAAAATATTCTGCCAGAGATGGCACCTAAGAGGTCAATGTCAAGTAAGGGCATGAAATGGGAGAAGAAATGGTTACTTTTACATGCTGTAGTTACCAGCCATTGAGTCCCTGAGGAGGAGAAAGAAGAAATAGAAAACAGACTGCAGTCCTATACAACTGAATAGCAATTAAGCACAAGAAATCACTCCCAGCACTCCTAGAGTATGGGAGGGGCAGTTGTGTTCATGCTATACAGCATTCCAGTCTGCCTCCAGCGTTATTTGCCAGGGTCAAGATTCTCAGGCACACGCTGGATTTTTATGGCTCCTGTGCATCAGTCCCAGAAACAGCAATGCCAATTTCCCGCTCCCAACAGGAATGACAGCAGGAGTGAAAGCTTGCATTGCTTTGCTGGAATTTTACTGGTTTGCGACTCTGACTCAGCCAGATGCAGTTGACACATAAAAAAAAGAGTCAGAGATGGTGTTTACTGCTGGCACAGCACTTTGGGCAGGCTTGAAAACAAAAAAAAAGGCAATAAGAAACATCTGGCTTTAATTAAGGCTTAAAAGAAATGGAGGAAAGCAGAAGAAACATATCCAGTCACTCAAGTGGTTTTATCTCCCTGCAGCTGCATCATATACACAAATTTACAAGTATTAAGGTTTCCCTTCAGTTTGATTATTCTATCATATAAACATGATTTAATATTTTCATAAATAAAAGTGTACTATCTTTTAAAATGTTTTTTATTGATTTGTGTTGGTTTTGTTGTCTGGTTTTTCATGCCATTTCCCCCCTTAATTTTTATATAAAATATTAATGCAAAGTTAGAAGTTCGCAATCTTTTTTGCTCACAATCCAACTTCCCAGTCGACACATTGTCTTCAATTTGCAAACCTGGGCTTGCAAACTAACATTTTGGACTTACAGTACTTCATATATCTAAACACAGCATGCTGATGAAAGATATCTGTGATGACAGCTATGAAAAGGAAAGAAGCAGGGATGTTCTTTTTGTTGAACAGAAACGACAGTCTAAGTAACCGTGAGAATGAATTTCTATTTCTTTCCTATTTTGTCATTTAAAAATATCTGCAATCATCTAGCAGCTTCTCTATTAGCAAAGGACTCAGACCTGTGATTCAGAAGCTGGGTATGCTTTTAATATACTGCAAACCTCAGACTTAGCTTAGGTAAGCTTATGGATGTAGCTTAACTTAGTGTCACTGAACTACTCTGTGACTCATTTCCTCCAACTGCAAGATCCAAATTACACTTTGGTTCTGCTTCGTCTGTACCAGTCTTGCTCAGGGACGAGCATCTTCCCACCTGGACAGTCCACCTGGAGGTTTGTCCCTGTAGTTGCACAGCCTGTCTTTGTGTGAGCAGACACTTAGGACATTTGGCAGTCTGAAGAAGCTTATTAAGAATTTTAGAGCTCCCATTTGTAAAAGTAATCTTAATTATTTCAGTATTTCCTCAGTCTTTCCCTAAGTCCTTAGGTGCTTTCCTCAATACAGAATGTCTTGATCACTAAACATTACATGTGGTTTTCTATTTTCTGTATCAGTTTCTTTGAATATGAGCATGAGAATTATTATTAATACCTTGCAGATTGCCACCAAGAAGACTGAATGCATAACTTACTTATCTTTACTCTTGATAAGAAGAAAAAACATCATAATAAATGTGTTAAAGAAACAGTAGTATCTAGTAGTATCAATAGTGTATTTAGACCAATGGGCCACATCCCAAGAGACCTGAGCCTTTATTTTGGACTGCATTTCCATACATCTTTGGCATGTCACATCACCTTTTTGAGCCCTGTTTTTTAAACTGAGATGGAATTGCTTCAGTAATTAAAAAAGCCAAACAAACCTCCTTTCCTCGCTAATGAAAAACACCATGTAAAACCAAGGTACTGTCCCTACTCACACATGGGGAATTAATCCTCTGATTGCTGATGACAAAAAAGACAGTGTTTACTCCAGCTCATTCTTAAAATAACTCTATTTTCTTCTTCACTTGGACTCTGATATCACCTCTTAGCTTTGAATTTGTCAGCGGGATACACACTAGCATGCAGAAAAAGATGCTGATTTTGGCAGCTCTGGTGGTATAACTTTTCTTCCCCCTTCACATTTTACTTTTGCCTTTTACCCATTTTCTTTTGCTTCCCCGCTCCCTTCTGGATGAATCAGAAGACACGGATTTTATTCCCAGATGTGCTGTGCAGATTTTATTCCCAATTGTGCCACTGCCTTCTGAGTGACCATAAATAATGTTGGAAGAGCACAGAGGGGATGACAAGCAACCTCAGGAGTGTTTTCCTTGTAACATCTGTACACTGATCATGACTTCTCTGATAGAACTTTGAGAAATGTCTTGAAATTTTCTCACTCTTCTGGTAGAAAATTAGTTTATTTTTTAAAAGACAAAAAGAAACTTCTATCTAGCCTAGTAAACTGCATATTAAAGTGGAAATATCTCACTTTGCATATGCCTATATGTTTGCATGCATATAGGCAAGACATGCTGTACAGCACCTGTTCATGTTTTCATTGTGACTTGCATGACAGAAAAATTTATTGAAAGAATATCAGAGATTTACCTATTCTATATCTGGTCAATGCATATCAGGTCAATGCACCCTTGTAAAAAACTTCCATGTGCAAACTTGGAGCAGAAAGCTGGTCAGTGTTTCCTCTTAGCAAAATACTCATTCTATTGCTGTGACATAAAATTCTGCATGGACCTTTATTCAAAATTCATAGAAAGAATCCAGTACTCCCAGCTGCTTGTCCAGCAGAGAGCATCTTTTGAGACTGAGAAGCCTAAAGAAAAGTTTATATGAGGGTACATTAGGTTATATTTGTTTCAAGAGGTTTATGTTTGTAGGGATTAAACATACCCAAGCCCAAGAAGGAACACAAAAATAAACAGCAGTTATTTAACATACGTCATTAATAATCTACCTTTGCTAATGTAAGTAAAAGCTTAGAGGTTAGTTTGGCTTGGTGGAGATAAACACAGATGAGATGGCAGTTAACTCTCAGGGCAGTGTGGGGACACCTCTGCTTATGCTTAGCATCTACACAACTGCAGGAAAATGAGCTGCTAGGAAATGGATTTACACTGCAGCTACTTCAGGGCTAGAGAACCCCTCCATGCCTCTCTGGTGCATTGCTCACTGCACATAGTGATAGCATTTCTTTAGTCAAACTTTAACCACAAGTATTAGCATCAACAATGAGCTCATGGTGACATGGTATTATGCAAGATTTGCTTAGTTTTAGTTTTGAAATATATATGGTCAAAAATCAATGGAATTCTTGGGATGAATAATGTCTGCAAAATTTAAAAGACAAAGAATACGTTCTCTGAATCTTAAAACAAAACCAGGAGAACCCTGTGATTTTAAGCTAATGCCACAATTACTGGAGCCTGATGAGTTTTACTCTGTGTGTAGTAGATGTGACCGCATTAGTCAGCTCAGGAATTTGTGTTTGTGAAGGATGCAGATTTCTCTCGGGAAAAAAAAAAAAAAAAAAGGCTACATGAGACTTTGAACAGTAGGCTAAGAAAAGTTACCTGGAAGCACTAAATTGAGGCACAGCATTAACAGATCCCATGAGTGTCACGTTGTTACAGAGGGACTCTTTTGGGGAAGGCAAAGGTAAGGCTGATGCCCTTTGCTGTTGCCCACCCTTTGCTGCTCGGGTCTCACGGCAGCTGTGTCTGCACCTCCAGGAGTAAACACAGGGCTTTTTACCCCACAGCTGCTTGCTTTTCTGTTCTACTTCTTTCAAAGAAGTGTCAGCCCTGTCTTCCTTTTCACCTTTCCCTTTCCTTACACTCCTTTGAAGCCTGTGACTAACAGTGCCAAAGCCAGACCCCTGTCCCCAGCCCAGCTGTGGGAGCACTGCCACCACTGCTCCCAGCTGAGGCTGCCCCAGCCAGCCCCTGCTGCTCCTCAGCAGGCAGCCCAGGGCTCAGGTGTTTTCAGGGCAGCCTCCCTGGTTTTGGGATCCTCTGTGCCGGATTACCCAGCTGTCTCCCTGGCTGCTTCAGGTATGCGCTCACCAAGCTCCTCTGGGCTTGGAGCTGTGCTGCAGCTTCCCCTCCATCCAGTGGGTTCCCAGGCTCCCAGTTCCAAAGCAGTGTCACTCCTGTGCCATATGGCCCCATGTGCCACATGCCTGTGCCTGGCAAGTGAGACAGTGCTGCTGAGCAGTGGGGCAGCACTGCCCAGCCAGGCATCAGCCCCCACAGATACAGATGCTCTCCGCAGCTGCTTCGTTGGGCAACCCAGATCGCCATTGCTGGAGGAGTTTTCTGTAAGATTTCCAGTGGAGAGCCAATGTGTTTTGAAAAGCTGATGGCTAGTACGGACATTACCTAGAGACAATTAGATGCTGTTCCACTATCATCACAGACATCTGGCTGCAGTGTAGCCAAGACAGCCTGAAACACAATTGCTACATAGCAGCAACATGAGCAAAAGCTGAACAGTGTGTGCCAAGAACAGAATTACCCCAGCCACGTGGCACAGCCCCTGTAGTTTGCAATAACCTTCCAGTTCTATGAATCCCATTAAAGAGTCAGAAGTTGGGCAATCTTTTTCGTTCAGTGAAAACATTAGAAATATACAATGGCACGTGTTCCTGGCAGTGCTGTTTACTTTTGAGTTTTCTGGCTTTGCTCAGCTTGTCAGCATCTCCAAACATGGGCACTAAAATGTCAGATCAAATGGCAGTCCTCAGCTCCAGTTTTCTGCTTTATTTCCGAGGCATACACTGCAGCCAGGGCACAGGTGGGCAATACCCACTGTGAACATTATGGGAAGGGATTCCAGCTCTGTCCTTCATTTAGAGACCAGGTAAGAGTGACTGTGAGGTCTCTGGAGATCCCCAGATTCTGGAATCCATCTTTCAGAACCTGTGGTCCACCAATCCCTTCCCTACTGAAATTTCTGCTGCAGAATACCCCCTAACCATTCAAGATTTCCAGTCTCTTTCAAAAAACCTTAACATTTTCAGAGCTTGCTGAACACATCAAATAAGATTTTCCCTGCTGTTGCTTAGACTGTGCTTTTTTGTTTCCTGAAGCTGCAGCAGCATGTGCAACGACTACTTTGACCAAAACTTACTATTTCTGGCAAAAGACAGAATAAAAATCATCATACGTTCTGGTGGGTGGATAGAGGCTGTGGCTAAGACTGGGGCATGGCTGGGGCTTCGATGCAGAAGAACTTGAGACACCTGAAGATCACTCCAGCAGAAAACTCACAGTGTCCAACAAGAATAAATGCTGATCTCTGTTCATTAGACTGTGCATTGGTATGGACCAGGAATTTGCTGGCTGAGGAGCAGCCCTGCTGGAAGCTACCCGGGAGTGACGATGGATGCCAAGTTCAGTGTGAGCCAAGAGCAGGTGGTTCATTGCCAAGGCAGAAGAGCAGCTATGTTATGTGGAGGCAGACAGGTTGATGGAGATTATTGTTATTATTATTCTCCCCTTCCTGGCACTGGTGAGGCATTACTGGGAAATAGGTGCTTAGTTTTGCCACCTGTAACCCAGGTTAACCAGACTTAGGGAAGCTGGAGAGGGTCCAACAGGGTGTGGTGAGGACAGTGAGGGGCCTCAGACAAGTGGCATGCAGGGAGCATTTGAGAGAGCTGGTCTTGTTCACTGTGCTGAAGAGGAGGCTGAGGGCAGAGCTAACAGCAGCCTTCAGCTGAGTGGCAGTTGCAAAGACCATTGAATCCAAACCTTCTCAGTGACACCAGAAGGAAAGCAAGAGGCAGCAGTCATAAACTGCAGTTTGGGATGGCTGAGATTGAGCATAAAGGGAAATGTTCTGGTTTAAAAAGGTAGTGTATCACTGAAATGTGTCTCCTAGGGAGGTTATGAAGTCTCTCTTTGGCCTAGATGTCCTCCAGAGGTTCCTTCCACCCCACATTTTTGACATCTTGTTCTGCTAACCACCTTCTGGCGAGCGAGGCTCAGATATGGTGATATAAGGCAGACCTCATCTTTGCAGTGTTGTGCATCCTTATTGTTCCTAATAATTTCTGTAGAAGGAAAATGTCATTGTGCCATGGGGAAACTGAGACCCTATAAAAAATAAGACCCACAGAAAGTTATGTGAGTTAGCAAAGAAGCCTGTGCCAGAGCATGGACACTCCAGCTATCCTAAGCCCTCCTCAGGACCCTGATCATGAGTATGCCTCTTTGAGTCAGTCCTGCTAATGGGACACAGTCAGCTGAAATGTGGCCCAAATTAGCAAAAATTAGTGAAACCAGGATGTTGCAAGTTGTAAGATGAAGCAAAAATTTTCTGCCTGTGTGCTGCAGTATTTTCTCCAAGTGTTTGTAGTTTCACAAGGTAAATTTGTGCTCCATTATAGCAGTATGGTATGACTTCAGAATGTAATAGGCTGCTATATTGGGTCAGGCCATGGGTCCAAGTGAGCTCATCATCCTGCCTTTAAATGGAACCAGTACTGGGTGCTTAGACAAGGTGTAGGGTTTGGGATGGTCATCCTGTCCTCTTCCAGCAGCGAGCAGGGTGGTGACTTCCTGAACCAGAAGCCCCATCTGACTCATCAAGGCTCAGTGTCACCAGAGGACTGTTCCCCATCAATTGTCCAAGCCCCATTTGAAGCAAACATGTATCTTTGCCACCTGCTGTATTCTGTGGCAGTACGTTACCAAATCTGATTTCTACCTGGGTATCAAGACAATGAAAGTGAAGCTTTATAGTATTTTACAAATTTTCTAGGATCAAAGCAGTGAAAATAGGAGAGACGGCAAAGAGGATGGGCTTTAAAGGTTTCACTGGCTTCATAAATATCACTTGTGACAGCTTAGCAGCTTGGATTTAGACAGGATTTACCCAACTGCTTTTATTTAATTTAGGGCAAAAGATTCAATGAGCTTCTATTGTCTCAACACTGCATAATTTTTGAAAACTGATCCTTGTGCTAGAAATATTTCATCTGGATATATGTTATTCTTTTCTTTCTGTGCATTTAATTTTTGTGATGACAGTACCAGTGCAGTGAACATTTCTGAAAGTGATATAAACCCCCTTACTTTTGAACGGATCATAGTGGGTAAATACGGCAACTCCAAAGAAAAATGTGACCCTGATGCTCTGAACACTGAGAGACAAATTGTCACAGGCAAACAGAAAATAACACTGCATAGGGTGTCACACCCACAGAACAGTTTTAAATCCCAGTGAGGTCATGTGCATGTGCGAGTGCTTGTGTACTAAATGTGTATCTTCCTGCTCTTATAAAATTACAGGTAATGCTTCAATAGCAATCCAGATGTGCTCCAGAGAAGGGGAAAATCCTACTTTAAAGTCCTGCTGAATTCTGAATGGTAATGAAAATCTGGATTCCTTAGTATCACAGGTAATATTAAATTACTATTTAAACAGTGTCTGAGATTCTGCATCTTCCCAGGGAGAAAGGAAAGGGAGAGGATAGGAAACTGAGGCAAGAAATATACATGTTATGTTTCTTAAAACTTTACGGAAAGCAAAATAATTGACCAAAGCCTTTTTCAGTGGCATTCTTGGCATGTGTCTGCATTGCAAATGGCCTGAATTTCTAAAAGTGATTATTTTATTTTGCTTGGGTTTGTCTGAACACAGCATCCCATTCCATACCTCTTAGCTGGCCTGCAATTTCCTCAGTCAGGTTCCCACTTCATAGTAATTGCCTCTGAATGGAGGTGATGCTGACCCAGGATGCCAAATCCATAAGAATGTGCAAGGGATTTGAAGGAGACTGGCATGAGAGCGATGCTGACACCAACACGGTCAGATGGATTAAGAGTGAAGCCTTTCCATTCAGTCCTACAATCAGCAGAACACGGATAGAACATTTCCGTCCTTCAAGAATTCAAATTTAAACACTCTTGTATGAATGACATACACAAAATCCATAAAATCCGTAAAACCCCTAAACCTTGCTCAAAGATTTAGCTCTGCCATATCTGCAAAACATGGAGAGCTGAACATGACTAAGCCCATTACAGTGACTGCTTCTCTTCTTCTGCTTCTGTGTTTCCTTTCCTTATCACTAGTCCCAGTTGGGAGGGAAAAAAAAAAATCCTCCCCCCTCCTCCCAGCTACAGTCCCTTCAAGTAAAGGAAGTCCCTTTTCTTGTGCATTTTTGCTTGACTACTGTACCTTTGACCCAATGCTTCACCTGCTTGGGTCCTCTGCTGGGAGACCCTTCAGCTCAATATTACATTTTTTGCAGTACTAAGCCATCACTAAATGGTTCAAACGAATATATAATATTAGCAGTAGCTATTTCTAATGCCAGTAAGGTACAACATAAGGTTATTCTGCTGCCATCAGTAATATGGGGTTTTACAGGGAGCCGTAATGTTGGGCTGCCATCTAGTGAGCCGAGGGTGGTTCAGGGAGCTAGGGAATGGGAGGAGGAGGTGTTCATGCCAGTGATCCAGAGCAAAGGTTTAAAACGATTTGATTCCTTTTAAATAGAAATATTTACTTTGAGTCAAAGGTCGTGCTAAAAGTCAGAACAGTGGAAACAGGCGTTCATGATGTACTGTTTGTTTGTGATGCATATGCAGATGTTTTCAAGTAAAATAATATAACCTGCAGTAACTATAAGTGCAAATTTCCTTCCTCCCCATGCAATGCATTCCCCAATTCACCTTTATTTTCAACCATTCCAAGCTTTACAAACACTTCAAAACTACATGACTGAATTAATCTTGATTTTGATAGCTTCCCAAAATAAACAATTTGAGAAGAATTCAGTTACTGAAGCTATTCAATTAGGCTATTCATTGACAGGATTAGGAAACGGATTACTTGACCTGATGATCAACAGATTTTCTGTCTCTTTAAATCTTATTGTTATCTAGCTATACCTTCATATATCATATAGCTAATGCCTCATATTTTTTTGTGTTTAGACTCTTAAGATGCTATAGACATTTACACTCTACCCATTAAGTGCTAACTAACTCAAACTGGACCTAGCCAGTGCTTATACCAATTCTTATTAGTACCTCCAGCACCAGAATATTTTATTTTATTTTTTTCCTGCATTTATTCCAAGTTGACACTATATATAATATACTGAATTGAGGATAATGTCTTCAGTGCAGTTTACAAACACTGCGTTGAGAGGCACAATTGCTCCAGATGACATTTCTCAAGTTCTTCTGATGGCTTTTCAAAAAATCCTAATCTCGTTTTTTTAAGGAATAGTGAAAGGTGTACAGAAGTTCATAGACTCTCAATGACCTCAAGACAAAGGAGAGGTCCTGCTGCTATCTGGAGTTACCTCATGGCAAAGTGTGGAGAGCAGTGGGGCCAGGCTGTTCTTCAAGGAGTGCAGTTTTAGGATGAGTGGCCACGGAGAAAAGTGGCAATATGGGAAATTCCAATTAGGTAAGAGTAAATTTTTCCCCTTGATGCTGGACAAAGAAGCAGTTTTCTGTTGAGGGAGGTTGTGGGTATTCCAAGTGAGCCACTGAGCAGCCTCATCTCATCCACCCCTGCTGGGCTATGGGACCTCCAGGGCTCCCTTCCAAAATAAGCTACTCCTTGAATTCATGAAATCAGTTCTCTAGGGAGAATTTGTAAACACCACATACTTGACATGAGCATAAACATTTCAGACCACCAATTACTTGTATGTTTTTATTTTGTGAGAGAATGTTGTAAAAGTGGTGAGTCTTGTTCCTTTTCCCATTTTCTTTCTGTCGAATGGCATTTTCCTCACAGGCTGGAACTGTGGGCCCCAGCGAGGTTTCAGCTACTGCAAGTGACGCTCAAATCGTCACCTCCAGGCCAGACCAACTGACCACACAAAACATCATCGCTGCTGCAAAGGTTGCAGTGCAGATTATGGAAAAGCCAAATGTTTCAGCATACTTTCAGGTGAGACTTCTTAGGACTAAAAAAAATAAGACTTGTGTGGCTTAGTATCTGGGATATCAATTCTGTATCTCTACTAGCAGAAAAAGATACTGTCCTTCCTCTCAACTATACCCAACACTACAAACAAATGCATTAGTTTTGCTATTTTGTTATTTAAGTGGTCTCAAGTGCATATTTGTGAAATCACTGGTGGGTCAGTTCTCAGGGCTGAGTGTAAATTTGTTTCCTATCAGTTGTTTGGATTTACATATATTTTAAATTGTAATACAAGCATCATTTGATATTTAAGCTAATCATTTAATCCTAACTATCTAAATTAATAAAAGTGTGGCATTTATGAACCCATTGGCACAAAGCTTCTGTTCTGTTAAATGGCTTCTTGTATTTTTTACTCTAATGTGTGTATTTCAAGCAATGCTTGTTTAGTGTTCTTACCTTGCCCATCCACTATGTAGCACATGGGGTGATTTATTTCAATTGCATTTGAATATTACCCTTTTTTCTGCTTGTCTCAGGCGTCTGTGGCAGTAATGGCAGCAATGGCTACAAGTGAGTCAGCTTTTGTATGCCAAGGAAACAATTCATCCACAATAATCTTGTCAATGTTACACCAAGGTAACTTTAGCTTTTGCCATTTCCTTTAGATGTAGTTGACTGCATTCTCCCTTCTGTTTCAGGATGAAAGTGGTTCATGAACAAGTCAAAATGCTTTTTAGCATTCAACTCCATTATGTAATTTCTAATTTATACCAACATAAACATTGCTGAATTCTTCTGCTTTGGAGAAAGGATGGGGATAGCAGATGAGGAGCACTTCTCACTGGAGAACCAAATCAGAGAGGAAGCTCAGAAACTGAACCTGTACCTCTATATTAACAAAAATGATAGCTTTTATCCCACTCATTTTTTCTATGCAGACTCACAAAAACAGTGGAGGAATTTTCTTTGACTGGCAACATCTCACAGCCCAGTGTTGCAATCCAGCCTGCTCCACTGAAATTAAGCTCCTCTATGATTCTGGTTTTGGCACAGAGAAGTAAGTCCTGTGTGTTGTTGGATTTACCTGGACACAGCAGTTGGAAACATAAATCCTAATGCATACACTGCTGATTGTTGCAGATACAGCACTGGGAAAGTGCCAGTCAGCAAAACTAGAAATACAGGAAAATGTTCCTGTGCTTCTTGGTGACCTCAGTACTGAAGTTCAGATACTGTTCAACATTTTAAGTAACAGTAAGTTCTTTCTCCTTTTGAAAATTGTACCTGGGAAATTTTTGAATGAATATTCACTAAAAACATCCTTTGGGAAAAAAACCCTCAGCCAATATAAGCAATTACAAGTTGTTTTTTATGCCTGTTGATGCCATATGGTGGTACAAGAAATGCACATGTCAAATGAGCTGGATAATCTTATTTATAGATGAATGCACACGTACACATAATGGCCAGAATGGTGTTTGGGACTTTTTCATTTGTTTTGTTTTCTAAAATTGAGAGTGTAATGAATCTTTGGCCATACCTCTACAAACATCAAGAACTAATACACCCTTGCTTTGCCTGAAATCAGAAGACATCAACCATTTCAACTAAAATTACCACTACTGTCAGGTGTCAGCCAGGACATACACATCCTGACACCTGCAAATTGGATTAGCCATTAATGGCACAGTCACTTGGGATATTTCCAGATGTCCATTACTTACTATTTGCAGTGCTCAGAGGACAAATTGGTGTTGACCAGGAGAGAAAAATAAAAAAGGTTATAGTTCCTCTGCTTCATTTGCTTCAGAAGCTGGTGGGTGTGGGGCAGCTGAGCTTCAAACGTGCATTTCTGACACCACAAGAGTTTCAGATTGGGCACCTGAAACCAGCAGACTTTTCCTCAGTCTCTCAGTGTAGTGTCAGCAACACTGAGACATCACAGCACAAGAGTATAATGAAGGCAAAGTTAGTGGAGCACTTAGATATCATAATGCTGAACATCACTGGAATACAAGCCCACAGGGAAATTAATAATTCAGTCCTCTCACTGGGGTTAGAAAAGACTTGAAGAGATAAATCCAGTAGCCTCACACTCCCAGCATTGGCAATAAGAAATCACTGAATAGCTTATTATCTGGTCACTGTACTTTCTATTCACTGTTTCAGATAACAATCCTGTGGAAAAACATTGTGATCATGTAATTAAAACCTTTATCATAATACCAGTGTATCATAACACTTCCCTTAAGACAGCTAAATTGAAAGCACAGCTTGTCTTAACCCACCCAACAGATTCCTTCAATATTAAGTGCATATTTTTGTAGATATAAAGCTACATAAGTCTGACTTGATGATCAGATCAGAGAGAGATCAAATCAATCTCTCTTGATCTTAATTCAAGTATAAAATCAGTAACAAAATCCATTATATCATCTGTGAGTTTTGCTCCCTCGCTTAAGCAACAATTAAGACCAATGATTTAAATCACTTAGATGAACTCTAATTTGTTAGAAGTGTGCAAAAGAAACACAGTACAAAAGTTGGATCTGAAGGCAAAAGTCCAGTCAGCCTCTTATCCTCTAACTTACCACTAACTTTAAATGTCCCTGGTGTGACTGTTTCTCATTTAGTGTTATTAAAAGCCTTGCCATTTGAAGATCTGTGTATATATTGGGATTTAGGATATTATTTTCCTAACTAACCAGTATTTTTCTCCAGAAATGATATTAAGAGAAGGGTATTAATTATTTTCACACCCCACCTCAGCAAAAATTGAAGATGTCTCTTGAGGTTCATGGGAAAAGCAGCTCTTCTCTACTACTCCTATGGATTTTAATTGAATATCTAAACATCTCCTGTAAATTCTGAATGTGTGAAACAGCATAGTGCAGGCTTCTTCAAAAGCACCGGCTTCTCTGATATCTGCTATCTGTACCTGCTTTTCTCTTTGCCTTGTGAAGGTTCATCAGACATTGGAAGAGTTGGATTTGTCCTGTATCAAAAGGAGAAACTCTCCCAGTCGAGGATTTATAAGAGTTGCAACAAGTTGTCTGAACGAATCATCTTCGGCAACATTAATGGTAGAATAGTGAGCAGCGTTGAAACAGCCTTCAGTCACAAGGTAAGCCTCCATGCCATGTTCAGTTTGAACCAACCCTCCTACATGTCTTCAGGTCTTCAAGACTTAGGGAAAGAGACTCCACCAATTTTTTGTTTTTCCATAGTACCTTTATTATTGGCAATAAGCAATTTTGTGGGATATGTAGGTGACATAAATGAAGGGTGTTTAGAAAATGTGGCAGAGAAAACATTTTTCAACTTCTGTATTAAACAGCTGATGTTACCAACTCAGTACTGCTAATCTAGGACATTTGCAAGCAAAACAGTGTTCATTAAAAAGTTATAGGTACACCAGAGCAGATTTGTCCTAGGGTACATTAGTCCTATATCAAGAATGAAAAAAACCCACAGGTCCCTGGAGGACAGTTTTTCTCTCCAGGAGACTAGCAAAACTTTGAAAAACAAGGAAATTCAATGTAACTGGCATGGCCCAATACACCTACCAATGTGGGGAGTGGTCATCTTTCATACTATCTTTTAACTCCTGCTTCCAGTTAAAAACAGTGTGTGCTTTGTTTTGACTTCCTCCACCAGAGACTGACTCCAGATGTTACTGTTTTCTTGCAGAAAATGCTCTATGTGAGCACCCATATACCAAAAAACCTGAATTTTTAGATAATATGTATTCATGTTTGGCACGGTTTCTCCAGAAAACAGTAGTTGGCTGCTTCTTGCAATATTTAACAAAGCTTTTAAGCTCAAATGCATCCACATAACAGATCATAATCATCACCATGTGTTAAGTATGGATATATGTAGTTACATACAGCTAAGTATGGATATGTATAACCACACAGGAAATGTGTCATTTCTAAGGAAATTACTGAAACAAACTCATAATTGATTTTTTTTCACTCCTACTTTTATTCCTCATTTTTAATTGAACTACCTAATCCTGTAAATAGTTGCGTTCACTCCTTGTTTGCACTTCAAGCTGCTTGTTGCTCATTAAAAAGCAGTTCTAATCGCAGTACCCTGAAGAAGCAGGTTGTCTGAAAATGTCTGCGTGATGTGTGATGTATGACTGCATGAGCACCACTGTGATGCAGGAGCAGTTCACAGCATTTATCACTGTTTGCTTCCTGTTACAACGTGGATGCAGCTCCGGTTGGCAGTCATTCTGCTGACATCTGAAAGCTGCTGTTGTTTGACTTACGCGGAATTCAGCTGGCAGTTGCATAATGCTTAGTCAGTGGGAATCTGAATCCGAGTTACCTGAATAATTCACTGAAACGGATGACCTCACTGGCAATTTTGGCTGAGAAAGGCACATAAAGTAAGCTCAAAATGCAAAATTATGCTGTTACTGATGTCTTTCATAAGGTTTACTGGAAACATATACATCTCTTAGTAACTGTCAGCTCCCCTTTCAAAATCAAACCATTGTCAGTACACGCTGTTTGCTGGTGCCTATCTCTTTATGTTTCTTTAGCCACTTTTTCTCCTTGCAATCCCAATCCATAGTACAACATATCTGAACTGCAGCTGTGTGATCATGCCTGGGTCTTTTGGGACTACTCCATCAATGACTGGAGCACCACTGGCTGTGCAAAAGGAAGAGACCAGTTCTTGAGATGCAGGTATAATTTCACGACTCATTTTGCTGTCATGATGGTAAGACATGGTCCTTTATTCAATAGGAAGAGTCTGTTTTGGTTTTTTTCATTTGTTTGGTCGTTTTTAACTATAAGACCAGCATGCTGATATATAGGGGGATAGGCCCACTGGGCTAGAAGGCACAGGAGTTTAAGATGTCCCCATGTACTTGTTTCTGACCTGTGGCAGATCTGGGAAACTGGGACATGCAAACTGTGCCCAAGCTGCTGGAGAGCCAAACGTATTGGCAAGTCCTGGCTCTGCACCTGTAGTGCTGCAGCTGATTGCTAAGTGAGGGTATATCTAAAGTCTAAGGTGGCCCCAGACAAACAGTAGAGTAGCCTGGAATTTGGGCTAGCTGTGGCACTGCCTTGTGCTGGGTAAATAACTCAAAGGATTTAGCATTACCCACTTCCTTTGCATATATGCTTATGAAAAGCAATTGCTCTGTAAATATTAAGCCTGCTATCATAAAGTTTTATACATTGCCCTCATTTAGGAATGACTGTCTGACGTTTGTTATTCTTTCAGTATTTATTTCAGCTTCTCTAAACAAAACACACCCTGGATAAAATCACATAGCTGTGGTCACTAACTTCAGTAGGGCCAGGATTTCAGAATTTCTTTTTACTCTGTCTTCATAGAATAGCGTTTCCATATTTGTACTATTTACTTGTTTCTGTATTTCCCTTTATCTTATGCATATCCTTATGGCACAAAGTGACTGCATTCTAGAGAAGATTCCCATCTGTTTATGCAAATACAAGAGTATTTTCTGTTTCACTGAATACATTTCCATTTACTTGCTGCTTTATTGTCAATAAACAAAGACTGGTTTTAATTCATAATTCTTTGTAACATCTTACCTTAGACTGAGAAGCCAAAATTCAGAATGCTCACCAGTATGAAAAGTCAAAGGTGCTTTTTTCTATGAATAATTTAATCTGCTATTTTGCTGAATATTTGATTTACATTGTTAAATCTCTTTTTGGTGTTCTTCAGAAGCTTCTCTTATTTTGAGGTCCAGAATAATTTTGTGTGATCTGAAAATTTTGGCAGTGGCTAGCAACAGTCATAAGCTTACTAAAACATTTTTTTTCATCTGATATAACTGACACAATTTGTTTTCTAGGCCTTTCAAATCAAATATAAATATGCAAAGCCTTTGGAGTATATCTCTTACATTGGTCTTGGTTTGTCCATGGCTGGTCTGATTATTACCATTTTGTTTCAAATATTCACTATGTAAGAGGGAAGATGTAAAACTGCAAGTACTTTACGCTCAGTTACAATACATCGTTCTGTAAATAATTTGAGGATACACTTTGAGCTTTTCAGTTCACTGTCTCACTCAACACTACGCTTTAAAAATGTGTAACAGCATTCTACCACCAGCATGATCTTCCCTGTACCCTTGTATTACAACTTCTAAACAATTATCTTTCTTCTAGCCAATAACTGCTTGTGTTACTGTTTCATTGCGAGTGACTTTAATACAAATATGATTGCAGCAAATTTCCTTAATGGATGTGCCTGTGATTAATGGTGTCATGTGATTCCCCTTTGAACAAGGAGCAAAGTCATGCCAACAAGAGCTGTAGTTGTCATAGATGAATGCATGTTTCTCATCCTACTTGTATTAATGTAGATTTGAGCAATTCCATCAAGGTCAATGTTTTTAACACTGTAGGAACTTCCAGACTCTGCCTTTTAGATGCACTTATTTATAATAATAATGCACATTTATAAATAATATAGACAATTAATTACCTATAATATTAATTATATATAATTATATAATATATAATTCTAATTATACATATATTACATAATTATATATATAATGCCCAGGGAGGTGGTGGAGTCACTGTCCCTGGAGATGTTAAGGTAAGATTGGATGTGACACTCAGTGCCATGGTCTAGTTGACATGGTGGTGTTGGGTCATAGGTTGGACTTGATGATGTCAGAGGTCTTTTCCAACCTAATTGATTCTGTGATTCTGGGATAAGAAGTTTGGAAGTGGAGGTTTATTACTCTCTTTACACTCTGAAGAATGTTTGGGAAATAACGTGTTTTATGCTACTTCACTTCTTAACACTCAAGAAAAGGATTCCAAAAGAGCAGAGTGGAAAAAGGAAAATGCATCCCAAACTGCTTTTAGACAAGGCCCAGTCCTAAAAGTTGCTGGGTATTCTCTGTTCAAGTTGAAATCAGATAAAACTGACGGATTTGGTAAGTTGTCTGAAAGTAATGATGATATAGTTCTGAAAAAAGTTATTGTTTTGGTTTCTGTCTGTATTAAAGGCTGTACTCTCTAGCTTGTTTTTGGTATAAACAGAAATGAGGAAATATTTTACAGTTTTTCTTATTTTGCTCTACTTTTTTCTCCTAAACATATTCCTACCAACAGGAAAACTTGAAAGTCATCTGTAACATGGATGTTAGCGAGTCTCTGTTTGTTAATGCTCATTTTTAACATCATCTTCATCTCTGGAATTGAAAACCATAATGCCAGGAATCACAGCAGTGATACTACCACCTATCACCAGCAATACCTTCCTTATGATAACACCAGTAACACCTCACTCACATCTTGACGTGGTAGATCCTCCCACAGGCTCCTGGTGTACAGCTGTAGCCGTCCTACTGTGCTATTTTTTCATGGCAACCTTTATGTTGACAGCACTCAATTCTGCACAGTTGTACTTATTGCTGCTTAGAGCCATGAAGCCCCTGCCGGGACATTTCCTTGTAACCACATCAGTAATTGGATGGGGTAAGATTTAAAGTTGTATATATGGCAACTTTTATGGTACAGAGTACAGTCAGGGAAAGTTGTAAAGATAGGGGATCAGCAGAGGGCAATTAGAATCAGTGTTTCTCTCTGGTTTGGTGCCATGTGATTTAATAATCTCCTGTTACTGCTCACACTATTGATATAAACTGAGCTTGCTTTCACTGTCCTAATACAGCACTAAAACCAATAGCTTGGTCACTGGCACAGCAGCACAGGTCTGCTGTGTGCAGGAGAAATTTTCACAGTAATCAAGGCATTCAACGATCTATTTCTGCAAACTAAGTAAAAAAATCTTTCAAATATGGCGATTGCATATACAGACCAAACCTCTTAATTTAGATATCCCTGAGATTCCTTGTGACCTCAGCCAGAGCCTTGAATGCATCTGAAAGCAAGGAGTGACTGTCATTATTTGTTACCTATTACTTATTAATAAGCAAAGAACACATTCTAAAGTCAGTACAGCAGTCAGTAGCAACACTGCAAGCTGAAAGAGAACTACTTGGAGAACTGAAGAATGCAGACAGATGCCCGTAATGGAAAGTGAAAATTTCAGCTTCCTTCAAGAAACTCTTGTAATACAGTGCACAGGAACACCTGCCTTTTCCATGGTGTGTATTCAGCTTGTGTGGTATGTTGTTCCTGATGGCAACCACCAAGCAGTTTTCAATCCTCATTGTTTCATCATTATGTCTTGCATTTACAGAGGCAATTCCTCTTAAACATTTAGAGTTTGGACTATATGTGGAAGCTGGAAAATGTTCAGCAAAAGTTGCCTGGCTCCTGTGCTTCAAGTATATTTGCATGACAGCACAGCATTGGGTTCTTCACTGTGTCCCATGACTAGTTACACATGTCCAAAACAGCATGATTCTGACTCACTGCTCTGTGGATCTGCTTTGAGAGCACAGTAAATGCTTGGCAGCCTGGAAGTTCTCTGTTAGGGATGAAGAAGGAACAGACTTTAAGAAGTATGTTTATTACCCAGATAAAAACTTGTGAATGAGGTTCCTTCCCATGAGACGTGCTGCCTAGTGAACAGGCACACAAGAGACGAGGAAGACAAGAAGTGAAGCAAAGGCATCAAGGAGACAAACCTGCACAGCCATGCCTCTTGGAGGGCAAAAGTTTTGCTCTGCAACAATCTGGTATGAAATGTAATGGCGCTTGGTGCAAAATTTTCTTAAATTAGTTTCCCACTGCTGACCAGAGGGTAGGATTGCACAGCTGTGATAAGGGATCCAGCCACACGGCACATGAAGGAGTTTGCTCTTTCACCACTGGTGTGGTCGCAGGAAACTGTGTTGAAGGTCATTGATGGTAAAAGTCAGCATGTCATGGACATGAGCTATCCTCAGAAAAATAGTGCTCACAACCTTCAGTCCTGCCTTTTCTCTAGGCTACAGAAAACCCATTTAACGTAGTGCAACGCAGGTGAGACACAGCTCTTAAAATCTATGGAATTTAGGAGGCAAGAAGCTATTTGCGTGGAAGGAATGCAATGAAACAATAAGTTGCTAATCTCGCTTATTAATTAGGAATCCCTGCCATAGTAGTTGCAATAACACTCAGACCTACTTACAGAGGAGGAAAAACTTAAAACTACCAACAGGAAGAATTGTAAGTTCACACAATATTACAACACTTGCTATCCTACACCTTTGGGAATGGCTTATTATTAATATAAGTCTAGATTTATTGTTGGTATACTACTTTGTATACCTAAGTACTCAAAAGAAATAAAACTCCTCATTCAAGCTAGACATTCACTCTAAGGAAACCTATTTTCTCCTTACTAAGGATTTAAGGTACTGGATCTATATCTTCCTTGAATCCTGCTGCAAGGTCCCATTTAAATGCAAGCTGCAGACACTCTTAGCCTAACTGAAATTCAAGACCTTCGTTTAAGTGCATAACTACCTAAACTTAATCATCACATTTATTTAAAATCTGGCCCAAATAACTATATCCCTATTTGCCCTGTGTTTTTGGCGCTGGTTATCGAGTGCTGGCATACCAAAGCAGGCTGTCTGGGTTACAGTGTACCTTGGTGACAACGCATGATACAGAAGAAAGTTAGACTTCTTTTGGAAATGTAAACAAAAACCACCCTCCAGATGGTGGTCATGTTATGCTACTTATTTAGGGAGTGTGGACTTCTAACTTGAGATTATTTGAAAATGAAAAAGTACAGAGGTAAAGATTATTACAGAATAATCCTCCCCTCCTGAAGTTGCCCCTGTTTTGCTTCAACCTTTGTCCATTAGGTCTCCCCTACTACTCTTTAGCTCTATTATAAAATATACCTAAAGATAAACCTGCATATGGTGGCCAGGTATCTATTTGGTTACTTGTATTGCACCTTATTATATTTATCTGTGTAGTTATTTTGCATTCCCCAGAGAAAGAGAAGCAAGATGGAAAGCCCTCATTTCTCAAGGAATGGCTGCCCTTCAGAGCTAAATTAACAAAACCTAGAAAGCACTGATAGGTCTTTCAGAATGAAAAGTGAAATATGACTTTGTTTTGTTTTGGTATCCTGAATAATGTGTCTAACACACCTTTTGAAATTACTTCTCTTTATATTAAAAGTTGCTGGCTTGCAGCACTGGACCAAAATCAGAATTTCAGTGTGCAAAAGTCCATGTTGTGGTCATTACTCTTGCCAGTAGCACTCATACTCCTGTTTCACATCTTGATCTTCATCAAGATCAGTACCTCTGTGAGATGTAAGAAGAACGAAAATTTGACAAGGTGAGATGGCAAAGGACTCCTCATATCTTTCAGCAAATATATTTCTCAGCCTCTTGTCATCGGCTCAGACTTTCTTGTCACAAATTCAGATTTTTGGCAAAATCTTTTATTTTAAAGAAATGTATACTTTAAGTGGGCAGAAAATGAATTCCATTATTGCAACAGGTCAGACTTTGCTCAAGTGTGTATCAAGGAACACATTTCAGGCTTTTGCCCCCATTTTTTGACTGCAGTGTCACTTGACTTCAATGACAGTAAACCCCAATTTAAATCCATAAAGTGAGAGCAGAGTTGAGTTCAGCCAAAGAAGAATTATGACTTTCCCAGCACAGCTGAACACTAGGCCAGTTCTCTCAGCACCTTGAAGCAGATTTACTTGCCCTGTTTTACATCAACACTCCATGTATTGTCACAGGCTGTATGTCACAAACTCTGCAGTGTACACTGTATTACTTAAAAGGGGATTGCTTTAATTTTTATAAGTCCCATGGAACTTATCTGTTCAATAAAACTTAGTACCATTTCTTCTTTCCTTTATGTACAATCTTCATGTTGGAGCAAATAAAATACCTTACCTCTAGGTCTCTTCAGGCTTGAGAGAAACTGGATATTCAAACTTCACTGGCAGCTTATTCTTATATTGAAAATTAAGTACATTTGGATTGAAGTTACAAGCATTCTAAAATACTTACAATACCTAAAAGGCTAATTTTCAGTGCTTCTTGTTGCCTTGGTAAACCTCACTTTTTTTTTTTTGTGAAAGAAAGATACAACCAAGCCGCATACTCCAAGCACAAATTAGTCTGATAAATCTGGTTACATTTATTTTTCTGGATTTCTTCTCTGGATGATACATCAAACAAATATAGGGAAGTGTATGCTCTCAACTCACCTGAATAACATATCTTTGCAATATAGCTCTGAATAAATAGAAAGTTTTAAGCTCAAAAAGGTATTAAATCATATAGAGAAAGATTTAAAAACTTGTGTGTGTTTGTAGGAATAAAAAGGATTCACTAATGAAAAGTATGATTAGCACTATCTCTGTAGTGCTTGGAATCACCTGGATGATAGGCTACCTCATGTAAATGAGTCATGAAAAAACAAGTCTTGTTTTCAGTTGTCTGTTCTGAATTTTGAATGCTACCCAGGTAAAGTACTTAGGAATTCTGAGACTAACAACTGAGATAAAAAACCAAATCAGATTTATTTTTTCTATAGCCTGGTTAGCAGGGGAACTTGTTGGAAAGCAGTTAGAGAGATTCAGAATTTCTGTTCAGAAGGGGATGCTATCCTTCTGATTTGCCACAAATAAAACCCTTCCCACTGTGCAAATCAATGTCGGATTTTACTTCAGGGTCAGTACTGAAAAGACTGTCCTGTCTGAGTGGCTTTTCTTATACTAAATCATTTATAAAATAATTTTCAGAAAGAATATCAGGAAAAAACCTTCCGCATTAGTTGTTGGAAAGCAACCAATGGGAAAGTAAACAGAGCTTCATGGCTTGAGACCTTTCACAATGATGCTGGATAAAAGCCTAGAGGAAAGTGTCTGCATCTTCTTTCCCCCCACAGCCCTGATGGGTTCTTGGATTTATATTCATATAAATATGCCCCTTCACATAAGGTGTATGAAGTACTTGGAGTAATGGATTCTTCATGACTATACCACTGGATATTTTCTACAGAACAGCTAATTAGAAATATGTGAAAATCTCCCCATCCCCAAACCTTAATTTTTTTGTTATTGATTTCATCTACTGAAAACCGAGTGCCTGCATACAGCTATGACCAGATCTACAAACCCTCTGTGCAAAAAGCCCTGAGGTGATTATTATTACACTGATGGACAGATTATACCCAGGATTTTAAATTGAAATCATGAACAGAGAACAGAGATCCATTTACTTAAAACTATGAGCCTTTCTTCTTTGTTTTATTAGAGCTCAGGATACTCGTGATTAATCCTTGAAAGGAGAATTTGGAAGAAGGGATATAGAAATGTTAAAGTCTTGATTCCCTTTGTGCGTGTGTGACTGAAGTGCTGATAGGGCACATCAGCCACATTTAATGCTTACGGCATGCTCAGCCAGGTCTTACCTTCATCCCATCCAGCTGAGAGCAATCATACAATCCTGAGATGTGCTAACTAATCCATTGCAATGTGCAAATGAGGCAAATCCATGGCTACATGGAATAATGGACAACACTCTTGGGCACATGGTGTGACTCTTCGGGATGGTCCTGTCCAGGAGTTGGACTCGATGATCTTGTGGGTCCCTTCCAATTTGAGATACTGTGTGATTCTGTGATAATTTTCCTGTTGAAAATACTTCTTGTATTTCAAGGTATTAATGTGAGTGTTAGTGGCTACCCACAATCATTTTATGCTTGTTTTCCAAGTCAATTAACATTGACTAATCACTTCTGGTTTTAACAGCAAAATATTAACTCCGCACTTCTATTTACTCTACAGGGACTCCAGATCTGTATTCTATACACTTTCAGAACACTTTGAGAAAAAATTTTCCAAAATGTTTCCTGTTTTCCACTGTATCTGCATTCCAAAACTTAAAATGTTTCAAAGTCACAGCCTGAAAACATTCACAGGAAACTTTCAGGTCAACCCAGACTTTTTCAGAGAGTATTTCCCTGTGTACCTTCCCTAACCAGAGTTAGAAACCTACAAATATGTGAAATATAATCCTGCATTTTTCCTGGTTTGTTTTATATAGATCTCATAGGAATTTTGAAAGATGGACATACTCCTTCCACTGCAGGCAGCTGGAAAGAGATCATAAGCTGATACCACGAGGAGACAAAGGCAGGACCCCATGCTAGCAAGACAGTGTGACTGTAAAACAGCAGTGCAGTGCTAGATCCTCTTGATGCTACTTGTGGAAGTAGTCACTGAGGAAGGTCTTTGAAAGGACCTGAGGTTATTATAATTTTATATTCCAGTACAGATATATAGAAGTTGCTCTGTTTATGTCCTTCATATTTTTCAAGCCTGTCGAACATGTTTACGTAGCCAATGCACTGTAGCTCTCCTCTCCCTTTCATAAGTAAAAATTCAATTTAATCAGAAACCAAAAGGTAAATCAACAAACAGCATAGTTCTTCTTGGCTCTGGGTCCAAATTCTACTTAATAATTCTATAACATGTTGCCTTGGTCTTTCCAGAAAAAAACTCTATCTTTCAACGGTCTTTTAAATTTTGCAGCTAAAACTTCTTCCTTATAAATGGTAATTAGACAAAATATTCTGTTTTCATATCAGAAAATGGCAAAAAAATAAGTCAAATGCTTGAAGAAACAGTCTAGGAAAGAAACTCTTTATAAATATTTAAGAAAGATCCTATTCCCAGCATTAGGCTGCTCTAGGAAGTGTGTTTCCTTTCAGAAGCAGATAGGTGTTCCCAGAATAGCACCTGGAGTGCTTCAGGTAGCACATCCCACTCTGAACTGACTTTGGCCTGCACCTTTCTCTCTGTGTCTCTGCCCTTGGGCTTTATGGGGAGCTTGGAAGAGGGGTTCTTTGACCTAGGCTTTTAAGCTTAGGTTATGAGTAAATATAAACCCTCCCCCTTCTGTGACCACCTTTTATTACCATCATTCAGTACAAAAAGGCTGAAAGCAATGACAAAGGAAGAGGGGAGAAGAGTTTCTGGATGCTGAAGTGAGGAATAAGGGAAGAGGAGAGTACTTGGGTGGAAGGAAGCATACACTGACTCGAGCATAACAGGCGTGCAAAGTACAAGCAGCTCTTCCCTCTTTGTGATTCTGAGCAAAGCGGTCAGGCCCCACTCTAGGGGGCTCTTGTCTAACAAGAGTTAGACATCCCATTCTCATCCCATTCCCTCCTGTGTGAGAAAAAGCCCGAGAAATTTAGAAAGGCAGTTTTTAGAAACTGTATTTCTTTATTCTGTTCTCTGAACAAATATAGTAACACATTTACATGTTTTGTCACCACTGGTTTTAATAAAACAAGAACACCATCTTGAGTTTTAAATAATCTGGTTTAAGAAGTGTGGTCAGATTTACCTCCCACTTTTATGTTTTTTGAACATGAATGCCATGTATTTTGAAAACTTCCAAGCTGCTCCAGAGAGGGTCGTGGGTGTGATCAAATGTGATGTCTGAACATTTTGGGAATCATACATGAGACTTTCTGAATATCTTCATAGAAGTGTTTCATCAGTCCTGAAAAGTTACCCATTTCTTAGAAATCTGTGCTCTCTCTCTGAGGCAGAAAATAAGTGTTCTCTGGCACTAACGAGCCTCCAGAAACAATAGTCACATCAGATATGAGGCTGAAGTTCACCACTACTGCTCCATAAAAAGCAGAAAAGGTTATTGAAAGTTATCTAGGAAAGGTAATTAATGCCTTTTTTTTTTTTTTGACAGGAAGTTTATGTTTCTCTGGGCATTGCTTTTTATTTGTAAATCAGGTTTATAATGCTTGCTTTTGCCAAGTCCTTCAATTTCATTGAAGAAAGGTATTAAAATTTCTGTGGTTTAGGAAGGATGGTATTTGATTGTGCTGTAAAATACAGCTAGGTACTGTGAGGATGGCTCCTTCCATGAAGGATAATGTTTTCTAAGAATTGATATTTTTCCCCACAAACAAAAATATTCTCTAAAGCACATTCCATTAAATTTTGAACATGGCTCTTTTAAAAACCTAATATTTTCTCCATATTATCTTGAAAAACAAGCAAAAAACCACAAGAAGAATTTGAAGCATTGAATTGGAAAAGTATTGACTTTTTTACTAATTAAGTGAAATATCCCATATATAAGTAATTCAGATGTTAATAAAATGCTGTTACAGCCTACACTGAGCATGTCTTACCTAATATAAAACGTTTTCAGCACAAAAAGTACCAGGAAATTACGTATTTTATGGCTTTTTTTTTTTTTTTTCATCCAGGGAATCCTAATTTCAGAAGTAGAATGAAGTAAAATGATCTTTTTCAGGTTATACGCTTAATTGTTACAGAAACAATAGTTCAGCACTTATCTACACGTGGAATATATTTATCTTCATATTGTAGTGAACTTTGGTATTTGTGATACGTGAGCTTTAAGGATCATGAATTTTCTTCTTAACACTTAGGAAACATTGCTTTGATAAAGAAATGGATTGGAGGAAGACTGAATCATCAGTACAAAGGTATGAAATGTGAGCAGCAAAAAATATAATGGACTGAAAATTCTAATTTTCCAGATATTTCCTATTTTTTATATATATATTTAAAAGCAAAGACTTTTATTTCAAAATGCCAAAATGATATCTAAATATTTTCTAATAGTTAGCAAAGAAGCTTACTGAACTATGCCTCTCCTCCTCATTAAAAAGTTTAGAATAAAAAACGTGTATCTTGTTCATCTTTTTTCACCTCCATTTCAATATGAGTAACACCTGCTTACTGCAAGTTGGGATATTCCTCTAAGAAAATATAAAGCTCTCAGCAAGGACAAATACAACAAAAGTCAAACAACTCCGACACTTTTCTTGTCCAAGCAGAAATTAGCATTTGGAAGCCTTTTCAAGACACTGAAGGAAAAGGTGTCTTTTCAGAGCCATCTTTAGCTAGCTCCACAGTTCTGCTTTAGTTAGCTCTGCATAGGCACTTTTGTCACTTGTACTAGCATGATAAATGAAGAAAGGCAGCAGAAATCTCAAGTATCCCAGAATTACAGCATGTCCAGCTCCAACAGCGCTCCGAGAGCCACCTTAGGGTTCCATTCCTGCACCTCTGACGGACAAAACTCGGGGCTCAGATTCATGTTTTTCTCCCTTAGGCGGACAAGCCCCGAATGCAATGAATGAGGGTGCGTGTGAATAGTAGCGAAGGCCTGGAAGTGACTATTCAAGGATAAACAGACGCCTGTGTGAGGGTGGTTTTACGGCTCGTTTTGCCTTTCAGCACCGCCAGCCTACGAGGGCCCAAGGCTGGTATTTCGAAACAACCCCTCTGTTGGAGGGAACCCGCCCAGGGTTGGCGCCGAGGCGGCGCTGAGGTGACACGGTGCGAACCCACGCGAGCCACCATATTGCTCGGGGGCCGCCATGTTGGCCGGAGGGGAAGGGGCGGGTCCCGCGCGGCGGAGTGCGCAGGCGCGTGGCTCGCGCAGGCCCGGCCGTGGCTCCGGCCCCTTCCCTCTGCCCTGCCACGTACGGGCGGCGGTGGCGGCCGCGGCCGGGCCCGGGTTCGGACGGTGCTGCGCGGGGCGTTCCAAGGGCGGCACCGCGGAGAGGCCACGGTAAGAGAGCGGGGATGCCCCCGTGTGTGGGGGCGGCGGGAGCAGCGGAGGGAGGGACGGACTGACGGCGGCCGCGGGCTGGGGGCGAGCCCGCCCCCCGCCATCGTTCCCGGGGGCCGGGGGCGAGGCGGCCCCTGGCGGAGGGGCCGGGAGACCCCTCGCGCGCCCCCGGCCGCGGCTGAGGGCGGCGGGACCCGCCCCGCGGCCCGGGCGGCCCGGGCAGCCCGCGATCCCTCCGACTCCTCCGCGCCCCAGCGGGCCGGGGGAGCCGCCGCTTCCTCGTTGCCCGGCAGGGAATGGCTGTGATTTATCCTCCCCTTTTGGGAACTGCAGAAACACGAAAAGAGCTCTTCTCCTTTCTGCTCCCCCGCCTCACCCCCCCGCGCTGCCTCGGGAAAACTCTCGTGTCTCTCTCGAATGGGGTTTGGGAGGCAGTGTTGCTTGTCCCTGCTTCTGTGCCTTGCCCCTGTTTTTTCAAGCAGAGCAGGAATGCTTGTCCTTCCCTTGCCTAGGCAAGATTGTTTTTCTCTGCTGCTGTGCTAAAAGGGTAGTGAAATGCAACGTGGTGATGACATGCTGGTTTTAGAGGGGATCCTGGAGGGACTGCCTTAGATTGGACAGTCCCTGTCCACATGCACAGGCTCGATTCGTGCACGATGTGAATAGAAAGTGAGCCAGGAGGGGACAAAAACTCTACTCTGGTACACCAGGAAGGTTAGAAAGATGTCAGTGTGATTCTTACGGAAAGCAATCCTGAATCTTAAACGTGAAGACAAAACGTTTTTTAGTTTGTTGATCCCCCTCCCCCGGAAAGTAGACACTGACTGATTCTGTTAAAAAGCTCATTAGTGTGCATTCTGGATGTCTTCACTGAAAAACTCCCTCAATGGAGTCATCCATTCAGCTGTGTCACAGTGAGGAGAAAAAGCTTGAGTGCTGTGTAATTCAGTAATTTGAACATTTCACAGTTTTCTGTAACAACTGCAAGCAGCTGAGGTATTTAGAATCAGTCTCTTAAAACCTGGACACCTTCAAGCAGAATGGAGAACAGCTGGACAAAAAAAAAGTGCAGTTAAATGCTTTCCTGCCACCTTTTCATAGTTGTTGATAGCAGATTTCTGTGAGTAAGGCTGGTAAATAAGGCATGTGCAGCTCATTTTCCTGCACAAAGATACAAATGATGTATTCAATCTCTTGAAAGGCTACAGGAGCTCAGGTGTGTCCACCAAAACGTGTATCTTCAGGAGTTACAGATGAGATTCAGTTCTTACTGTTGACAGTTTCTAAGTAGCTTACACTGTAATGCTGAAGAAGCAAAACCGGTGTCCAGCTCTGATGTTTAATGCAATGTCTGTGTCCCGTATTTGTCCATTACAGTAAACTTACCTGGAGCTGTAGCAAGTCTGAGAT